TATCTTATATGGAACTCTTCCCATTGATCACTTGTACAAATTTCAGAACAAACCAAAAATTTTATTTAGTAAAAGACGAAACAGCTAGTTTTTATAAAGGTCAACATTTTACTCTATCTGGAGGACTCCTTTATATATTTGGCAAGCAAGCCAGAAGCGTCAGTTGTACAAGATAATTGGTAGTGGATGCCCTTGGTACAAGAAATTCTAGTGGAAGTTTTCTTTCATCGATGAAGGTGCTATAGCTTGGTTGGCTAGGCAGTGAACTAAAAAAAATGAGGTTTTCAACATGCTCTTTAAGGTTCTTTAGTTATAAGAACATATTCAACTATACACCCACTATCATATTCTCGCTTAAAGTTTTTTTTCTGGAATTTTGGATGGAAAGTAGGTGATTCGGTGTACCCCCTCCAAAAGACTGGCATTGTTGTTCCTATTCTAATCGGGAAGAAGGCATGCAGGTAGATAAACAGGAATGGACATGTAATGAGACATAGCACATAGGTGTAGGCAGATCTGCGAAAATTAAACTCCAGATTGTTCTTTTATTTTTCTTTTATGTACATATAATACTCTAGTGAGGCATTCCCTTGCACTCTATTATATAATTTTTATCAATGAATGTTTTTGAATATTCTTTTGGAAATATTCTCGAATATTCTTTCTTTTTTCTTTTTTTCTTTATTTTCTTCATTTTTTCTTTTCTTTTTCTATATGTATGTCAGGCCATATTCTTTTTTTATGCTTTTTTCATCTTGTTCTTTTTTAATTTTGGATTCTCGCCTAGGTCATGTAGTTTTCTCACATTTTCTTACCCCTTTGTTTTCGTTCTTTTCTATCTCCTTCGTATAACTTGTTTTTTGTTTTATTTTTTCAATTACGCAGTTATTAGATAGCAAACTATTCTGCCAGGACCTAGATAGAAAAGTTTTTAAGAAAAGAGGTGGTCATGACGAGCTGTAAAACTCGGCTGTTAATATATATATTTAGGTTTGCTTAACTACGGTATATAGGGAGGTCAATTCTACTCTGGCAGATCATGGGCAGGTGCCTCGAGTAACCGGACGAACTTTTTTTACTTGAAAGACAAGAATGCTAGAAATAGTATTAGCATTTGATAATGTAACTTTTTCCTTCATAAATAAAAAGTGGTATGATCACCAGGCTAATATTAAAAAAATATATGATATAATAAGAAACAAAATGAAATTTGTTATTAATAAATAAAAAAAATTGACAAAAAAATCAAAATAAAAAAGTTCTAAATAATCACCAATCTGAAAAATAATTGGCTGATCATAGGGTTATATGTACGTACGTACACTACTGCATTATGTAAATTAATAATATAATTTAAAATAAATAAAAATAAATTAAAAAACGTTAAAAAATTAAATAAAAAATAAAGATTAAAAATAAATAAAAAAAAATTAAAAAAATTTGGAAAAAAAACAAATTAAAAAAAAACAAATTAAACAAAAAAAAGTTAAAAAAAATTAAAATAAAAAATAAAATAAAAAAAAGATCTTTTTAAAAAAAAATGGTAAAAAATAAATTAAAATAATATAGTAGAATAAAAAATGTACTTTATAAAATAAATAAAATAAAAGATTATTTAAAAAAAGATCAAAAAAAATTTTTAAAAAAATAAAAGTAGTGTACGTGCATATGTGAGAATAAAATATGCGCTTTTTTACTTTATTTATTTATTTTGTTTTTTTTGAAAAATCAAAATACTGCATGTACTCAACTTCAAAACAAAGGGTCAGACCAAATTTATATTAAAAATATGCAATTAAACTTTTATATATAGAATTTTGATATACAAATACACAAATTAAAAATCTACTTTTTTAATAATTTTTTAAAAAAATACACAAATTTAAATCTTACTTTATTTAATTTGTCTATGTTAGCTACGCATTTTCTGACCTAACCTATTTATATATATTTCAGGGTCCTTTTGTGTTCAACCCTCTCAATCCCACTAAATTCTGCTATTTTGCAACTATTTATGTCTACAGCCAGACTGTGTGATGCAGATGAGTATCCACTGGCTAATCTTAGGCATCAAATTTTTTAATTTGTAAACTGTGAGTAAAAAAAAGAGTGCTCAGCAGAGTACATTTTATATCAAACTAATTAATACCTATAATTTAGAGCAATTTTAAATTTTCTCAATTTTTGCGAAGCTAAAATCTTTTATATTTCTGTAAAAATTGTAAAAGCAATTTTTTTCTTTCTAAAAGTTGTAAATTCATTGAAATTAACTAGGGTTGCGACTCAAACCCTTTTTTTTAGTTACGACATTACTATCTAGTTTGGGTTTGGGAATCGGTATTTCTACCTAGTTTGGGCTCATAACCCAAACCCAAATATATATCCCATTTCAGTAAATAGTGTCAAACTTAAATCAATTAAATCATTAAAAAATATTCCCGCATTTAATAATATATTCTTTAAATTATTTAGCAACTTAACTTTTAATGCTATATCCAAGCTCAAACATTTATAATCTAAAGTTCAGATCATGAATGGATTATTAGATATTAAATGTAGCTAAGCCAGTAACACGTAAAAATCTCGTTTAGCAAGTCCGAATTTATTTTTATTGTTAAAACTTATATCGGAAGAACCTGATCATAAGTTGTACGATAAAAAGCGCATGTGTGGTTGATATTCTGGTTGTCTTATCTGTCTTCTTGATTAAATTTCAAATGATGAAAAGATAAATTTCAGGACACAGGTTTTTTCCTGGCAGCACTCATTTTAAAATTTTTTTAAAAGTTTATTTAAAATCTAAGATTATTTGATTGTCGCATTTGGCAAACAATTATTTTACCTATCTTGATTTTGTAACATTTTAACCAATTTGAATAGGTACACGTAAGCATAGAAATTGTTCTCAAACCTTAATTTGTATAACTTACCATTTGTAATCGTCCTAATGTTATCGACATTAAGTATTATTGTTAATAAAAAAAATATTTCAGGTTTGCTGAATCAGGCCAAACAAATGTCATGCAACAGATACAAACCTTGTTATAATTATTAATTTACATCATACGATAATCAAATCCACGTAGCTACAAGAAAAAAAAATACCAAAATTGATATTATAATTTATAGTCTATAACATTAACAGATCAATTCAATTTTTATTATACAAAATAAATAATGTATTTTTAAAGTGATAAATTTTTAATGTTAATTAAATATACAGTAATAATTATAATTAATCATATGCATCTTTAAATTAGTTTCTTATTTTTAAATTAACAACTTTAGTAATCGTTTTGATCTATTGACCGTTGCCACAATTATCTTAACGCTATTGGCTAAAAATTTTCTCAAAAAAAAACAAAGGTTAAAATGCATTTGTTAAAAAATACGTATTTATATAAAACCTGTATAAACACTGCAAAAAAATATCAGCATCCCTGATACGAGTCATTTTGTTTTATTTCCACAGTAATACAAGAGTAATAAGTTAAAGTTGAAATGAAAGCATTTCAAAACCAATCTTATACTAACATTAATATAAAATGTAACATTACCTAAATACCTTTTTAGGAGTTAAGCAAGAACATAATAAATCAATATAAGAAAACCATAAAAGATCATGAAATAAGAATTAATATATAGGATAGAAAGTTAAAAAAAAAAAATAAATAACTCTCCTTATTTATATGGATCAAGTTGCATAATTTTCTTTGAATTTCTTTGCTTTAGTTATATAAAATCCAACTATCGCTTGATAAATATCCTCAGACTCTTATACCAGGTTTCGTTCAAAATCACTTAAATAAGAATAAAACCAAGTTTTGAAAGTGATTATAAATATAGAATTTGTACTATGTAAAAAAACTTTTCTGAATTTATAAACCTGTATATTAGAAGAAATAACTGTTCTTTGTTAGAAACCTCTTAATCTAGTGAAAGGTCCCAGTGGTAATCACGATCAATTTATTTAGTTAATCGGGAAACCTTGATCATTGATCGTGCGTTATGTCTTTTTTTTTAATAACATTAAAAACAAATGATCTTATCCTTATTTGAAATAAGACCCAACCCCAATTTTTACATGTAAAAATTTGGGATTTCTAGCAGTAATACAAATTATATGTCAGAAATGTTTGACATTACGGCAAATTAGAAGCATTTTGCGAAACCTAGTAAATACAGTTTGGGATTCTACCAAATCCCAAACTAGTAGGTTTGGGTCGCAACCCTAAAATTAACCCAATATATTATGAGATATTATCATTTTATTTTCATTATTATATGAAAATTTCTTTGCAGATTTGTAAAAAAATTTCATGTAATTGCAAAAACAAAGAAAACAATATTTTGTAGTCTATTAGACCAATTTTTATAATTTTACCACTGTTAGAATGAGAAAATTGCCTTTACAATTTTTATAGAAACACAAAAGATGTCAATTTGGCAGAAATTGAAAAAAATTTAAAATTGGCTTCAGATTATAGATATTAATAGTTTTGAATAAAATGCATCCCACTAATTATCAATCAAATTCTTTTCCTTACTCATAGATTATAAATTAAACTAACAATCTTAAGCAGCCATAACTTGACTGCAAAATTTCTGTAATAGTTAGTCTGTGGTTGCAGGTGGAAAACCACTAGCTAATACTACAAATTACTTGATCAATTATACATTGAATGCACTAATGTATACTGCATATTTTGTTGAAGCAAGTTAATAAAGTTTGAATAGCTAGTATATGTGCTGGTGTGCCTCCAATAAGCATTTAAATCACAATATGTGGCCCTGTTTGATAGTACATATGCATTAATTAGAGATATATTGAGTTAAGAATTGATTTTTTAATAACCTTGTTTTTTCAAGTAATGCTATGTGCATTATATATATGTAGCTATCCAAGAGAACATATTATAATGTACATCCTTATTTGCACTTATTTCTTTTATTAATTTGGTAATTTGAAATAAAACAATAAAAATTTTTTGAGGGGTTGGGGCCCTATAGTCTAGTGGTCTAGATGCTCAACCCTCACAGCCGAGGTCTTTGGTTCGAATCCTACTAGAAGTCATTTCTAGGAAAATTTAAATGCAAGGCTCTGTGAAAGTCCATGTGAAGTACGAATCTGGTTTAGGAATTTCTGAAAGGAGATCCATTGTAGAGGGTTGGCACTATAGATAACGGTTCTGTTACACGAAGGTTGCACAAGTAATTCCTTGGCGGCAAGTACAAGGTAGCACCAACAACTCTAAGGCGGTCTTGGGATCTTGATTGGGAGGGTAACACAACTGTAACACAAACCCGAGTGGTGAGAAAAGTGGTTAACACAAAGGGATCTGTGGCAAAGAATTGGCCTAAATTGGATAAGGAACACCTCTGGAACCGGTACCAAACCTAAATTGGAAAGAAACTACTACTATAGAGGCAGATCTGCGAATTGGGATATGAACAAAATGACGAATCACCCGGTTGGAAGTACAAAGTACGAAATATAGCTTCCTGGCCTAACCAAGATAGAACACCAACCGCTCTACAAGAAGTTGGAAGTAGTACAGAAATGTATTACAAAATCCAGTTGGGAGTAGCTGTGTCATATAGGAGGAGTGAGAGCTTGCTTGCTGAGGATAGGGGTGGTTCTTGCTTGGGCCAGTTACGCAATATAGCCTTGCTCACCTACCTTTAGGGGAAGTATCTGCTAACCAATCCAGATAGCATATCTGCAGTAATATACGATAGATTACTGAGAGTAGTGGGTACAGCAAGGCTCTGCTGCCACCATTGGAGAAAGGTAGTAGCTTGAGATACTGGCTAGGTTACGGCAGTATTTAAGAGATGGCTTGAGATATGAACCTAGCAGCGGCAGCACTACAGGTACTACTAGTGGGTAATCTCGGGACACCAAGGTTTAGGAAGTAGCCATGAGGTTACGATCGTCTGGGCAAGGCCCTCACTCCTACTTGGAAGTATAGGATCAGCAATATGAGAGAAGTGGGAAATATAGTGATTAGCCGAATGACAAAATAGGGAGTAGTCCAAAAATTCAGGTCATACAGAAAATGGGTATGGAAAGCTCTAGTAGGTTTAGATCACAGATAGTCAAGAATGTCTGAGTCTGTAGTACTTGAATAGTATAACATTGTATCACATAATATATACAAATATATACTCAATAAAGTCTTCGAGGCACGTCCTCACCTTAAAAAAAAAAAAAAAAAATTTTTTTGATTTGGATGATATATAATACTTAGTAAACCTAAAAGCAGTAAAGTACATTGGACATTTTGTAGACATTTTGAACATTTTTTTAAATTAAAATTTTATTAAGATTATCTATTTTAATTTTTTTAAAAATGAATCCAGCACCTAAAAAAATATATTAGTAGTCTTATCACTTTTGATACACAGATGTGATACATTTAAAATTAAATCTTATAATCTAAATTTTTTTTTTATCTTGGCAATCCTGCTTTTATTAACTAGGAAGTGCATACTTTGTACACAAAATTTTAGTTTACAGTGGCTGCTACCAAAATCCCTCCTTTCTTTAATAAAAACTTACTTGTGCTACTTAATGTCTGCTAAGTACAATCTGCTGCAATAACAATTTTCTCCTACAGGGGCATACAACTCTCTGTACATGCTCCCTTGTGATCACTAATTGGCTGTTATTAACCTTGTCAAGATTGTTGATTTCCTTAAATCCTCCTCACCTAGCTTCAATGGTAGAGTGATTTCAATCCAAAGACAAAAAGAAAAAAGATACAAGCAAGAAATTTAAAAGGAAAGTAAAAAAAAAAGAGGTAAAACTACAAAACCTAAGCGAAGTACCAAAAACGACAAAAAGAAAAGAAGAAAGATGAGAAAGACAAAGAAAAAAAACTAATCTATAACAAATACATATAAAAATGTGTGAATGTAAAAATTATATAATACTATATAGAACCTCTACCAAAGTATTATATGTAAACTATAAAGCAAAAAAATATACACTAAAAAAAGGTATGGCTAAATTACAAAAGAAAAGAAATTTCTATGATATTCTAAAAAGATTTCTGACACGTTATTTATTGATTACATTGAAGCAAATGAGCACTTGTGACATCGACTCCAATTAGGTAGGCATAATCCCAATTTGGAAGGTGTAAACACTGCCGATCTTCTAGAGGTAGTAAGCTAGATTTTCCACTTTTTGGTGAAATTTTAAAAAAAACCAAGAGGAGGTACTGAAAGTACCAACTTGCAAAGGACTGAAAGTGTATATGCTATACAAAATATTATATTCAACCAAAAGTATGTTCCCACAGATGTTTCTACTTCTCTTAACAAAAAATTTAGAGTTTTCGACTCTACTACTTCTTCTATAGTACCAGAATCTTCTACTGGAGAGTCAAACCAAAAGGAGAAATCTTTTTTAGCTCTATTTCAGTTATCTCAATATTCAATCTGGAACTCTGGTTCTCAGTTGCTCAAAGGTAAAGTTTTGTTGTGTATAAGTATAATAATTGCATAGTTGTCATAGGTCTGTAGTTATGAAAAAGTTGGTATGAGGGATTATCAGAGAGAGTTCTATAATCTAATTTTTACATATTAGTAAATAATTAAACAAATATATATAATATTTGTATATTTGTAGCACATATTTATAAAAAAAATTTGATAATTTTTTGATTTAATATTTTTTAAAAAAATTTTAAATTTACTCAATTTTTTAAAAAAAATTAATAAAAAATTGATTTTTTTTAGTATTTGTAAGATTAACCAATCAAAATTAAGTATTGTTTGTGCTATTATGCAAGCAATTTGGTCCAACTATTTGAAAAATATGTGCAAAATTCCAAATAAGGTTATTTTGTAGCAAAAAAAGTTATAATAGTAAATTAAATGCCAATTTATTATATAAAATCGTTATTTTAAGAGAATTATATTTTAGGTGTGCTATGCACCATGGTGCACCCTCATATGATGCAGATCAAAATATTTATTCAACTCATGTGATGCCAATCAAAAAATTTTTATTGAAATAATTTACTAGTAATACAGTTTGTAGTATGAAATTTAATTATTGTTACTGTTACTTTGTAACTGTATTATTATAAACTAATATTTTTTCTTTTATATCATTTTGAGATAAGAACATGAATGGCTTTTATTTGCAAAAATGCAGAAGTGCTATAGGCAAAGCAGGCCTAGCAGTAAGTCAAGTATAGAAATTTAACTCACATGTTAATTGCATTATGAAACTAATTAACTTTTGTAGCCTTTCTTTTAGAGTATTTCAAAGCGAAAATGGTTTTTAACAATGGCTTTTACTTGCATAAATGTAGAAGTGCTATAGATAAGTAGGTCTAGCACTATGTATTGTTGCGCTCAAATGCATTACAAAGCTAATTCACTTTTGTAACTTTTTTTTTAGAATATTTCAAAGCAATATAGAAGTGCTATAGAAAGTGGGTCTAGCACATAGTTAAGTAGGAAATTTAACACATGCATTAATTAATATGCATTGTTTTGCTCAATTGCATTACAAATTCACTTTTTGTGACTTTTTTTAGGGTATTTCAAAGCAAAACAGTTTTAAAACTGGTTTTTCTTGCAGAAATGTAGAAGTGCTATAAACAAAGCAGGTCTACAAAATAACAAACTTTCAGTCAATTGACTGCTTTTTTGAGTTTGAACAATCAAATACCCTTTTTCTAATGAAGCTCATTATAAATTATACAATAATTATAGTAATAATTATTTATCTACTCCTGTAAACATTCTTTTATTAGACTTAGGTTAATGCTACTAAATCTTTTGAAACTTCTCCATTTTAGCTAGTTGGATTAAAATCGATTTTTTTTACCTGTTTTCTATATTAGTGATAGTGGTTTACTTTCTCCAACTATTAATCCTCATTAGCAACTTTATAGTATTCCTGAAATCCATAATTACCCTTATCATAATGATCCTAGAACTGATGAATTGTGTGATCACGATTATAAAGAACTTTTTTAAATAAACTATTAATTCCAACTGAATATGAAAGGTATAGAAGTAAACAAAGAAGAAGCTTTAAAATCAACTTCAAGATGATTATTCTCTAGTTTAACTTTATATCCGAATATTAACTATAGCAAGCACAAATGTTATAACTACTACAAAAGAAAAAGTAGTAAAAAACATGGGCAATATATTTGTAGATTTTGTAAAGAACTAGAACATAAAATTGCAACTTGTTTATATAAAGTAAAGAGTAAGTATATGGAATTTAGGATATAAGAATGTGATTGTATTTCATGCTTTTTGTATACCAATCATATACTAATATAGTTGATAAAGCAAAATGCATTTTTTTGTCAATAAAAGCTAAAGCATACTTGTATTGTATGAATGCATATTTTTTTCTAATAAAAGTAAAGCATACTTGCATTTTATAATATATTTGGAATATAGCATATGTGTTAAATTGGCTATGCTATTAGTGTGTACATATTCTTATGCAAGTTACATTATATATTATATGAGATGTGCAGGGCATATATACATATGTCTATACATGTATACAGTTTAACAGTATATGTGTAATTTGAAAAGTTTCTTTTATTAAAAGTTAGAGTGAGTGCTAATATAGTCTTTTTTCATTTTAGCTATTTGGGTTAGAGGGCATATTGATTAATTTTTTTGCTATGTGTATGTGTTATATTTTCTCACATAGTGTAATGTATACATACCTATGTAATTCACAAAAGTTTTTTTAATAAAGGTTAGAGTTAGAGTGAGTGCTAACATAGTCCTTTTTATGTTAGCAGTTAAAATTAGAAATGTATGTATAATTAAAAATGTTTCTTTTATTAAAAGTTAGTGTTAGAGTGAGCGCTAACATAGTCTTTTTTTATTTTAGCCATTAGGGTTAAAGGGCGTATTGATTAATTTTTTTGCTATGCATATGTGTTATGTGTTCTCACATAGTGCAATGCATACATACTTACATAATTCGCAAAAGTTTTTTTAATAAAGATTAGATTAGGATGATCGCCAATATAGTCCTTTTTCATGTAGCATTTAGGATTAGAGGCATATTAGGTAATT